GAACGGCGGCAGTGCCTCTGTGCTGCACCGGGCACTGGCAGAAAGGTTTCGAGGATGGACCTTCCAAGCCTGGGAGAAGGGGATTTTTTTTTCCCAAGCCAGGAGTACCTTTCTACCCTGAGCCAAGCCCCTGGGGCCAGGGATCAGTCAGGGTGGAAATGCCACTTGCCGGACCTTCACTCAGCCACCCTCCAGGGATTTCATGTCCCAGCACTGCCACCCTCCCCAGCTCTCCCCTTTTGTCCCAATAAGGGATCAGGCTCATCGCTCCACACCTCGATTTTGAGGAGGCGGGTTGATAGGGAGCTGGTTGCCTTCCATTGGCCACCTCGCTGAAGCTGCGGCTTCCCAGCGCCTTGCTCCCCAACACCTGATGGCACGTATTGAAGTAGGCAAAATAAATCACCATGCAACAGGCAGCACAAGGGAGAAACTTGCGGGCTGCCCCCACATCACTGGGTCCGGGATGGGGAGGACAGGCAGCCCCAGCAAGAGGGGAGACAAAATGTCTTGCCAAGGGGCAAGAAGCCTTTGGAGATCCAGCATCCTGCGTGTCCATCCCTTCCCTACTGCTCTGGGAAATGCCTCAAGGATGCTGGTGAACAACAGCATGGGGCAGCTCGCCCCAGGCTATGGTCATGCAAGCCTAGTGTCTTCTACTGGTTGCCAGTCCAGATCCATGCACCAGGAACACTTGGAATTATGCAGCGGATGTGTCCCTGTGGGCATTGCATGTGGGAGCGTGCTATAGAGATGCCTACAGCTAGATGAAAGAGAGCTGCACCCCTCAAAGGACAGGTAAATCATCTCTCCACACCAATTTGTCTCAAGTCTCCATTGCATGCTGTCAGAAACACACAGCGGAGGCAAACACAGTTGGTCTGGGCCCTTTAGGAAGAGGTGTAAATAGGAATGAAAATGGCCTGGAAGCAGGGTGTGTGACTTGGAAGCAGTCCCTCTATCCATGCTGTCCCGCGGGGCCAACCCTGACACAGAGAGGGGCAAGGGGGGCTCTGGTACAGCAAAAACTGGGACGAGAAGTGGCCATAACTAAGACTGCCCCAAACTGCAGCAGGAAAAGCAGGTCAGCCCACTGCGATCTGTTACAAAAACCTCTCAAGGGCTGCCGGTGTGAATGCTGTGAGGCAAGGGGACATGTTATTCGGGGGGTCCTGGCTGGCTGCTGCATCCTCTTGCACCCCAAGGGGTGGGTGTGCAACTGCGCTTGCTGAGTTGAGCTCTGCCGGGACCGTCCCGTGCCTGTTTCCTCCGGGATCAGAGCTTCAGGATGGAGACAACACCTGCACCCCCTCACCGTTCTCTTTATTTACAGACACAAGATCAATTGGGGGTGCAGAGATGAGAAATGGCACCTTGCGAAGCATCTGCCCACCCAGCCAGCGCTGTGCCTGAAGCAAGGTCTTTGCTCCATGCAGTGGGAGGGCGGGTGGGCGCGTGGTGCAGGCTCCGTGACGTGGACAAGCCAGCTGGTCGACCAAAAGGCACTACCCCTCTCTGTGGCTGAGCCTCCTTTGCCTTCCAAGTCATCTATTTCCATCGTCCACCCACCATGGTCTTCCCACGGGCAGCCTTTGACCTGGAAGGGAAGCAGAAAATTGCACGTGCAAAAAGGTGTTAGTAACCGCAAAAGGAGGGAGAAGGTGGGGGCCACTGGAGGAGAATCGGGGGCCCTGCAAGGAGGACTGAGCCATCTTGGGGTGATGCTACCCCATAGTATGGAAGAAGTTCTTCAGCGGCCCTAGGTAAAAGCCTGGGACCTGAGTCAGTCCATGTGTTTTGGGACTCTATGGGAACAAGCTCATGCATTTTCCCTGGTGTTTCTAAGGAGCTCCAATTCCCTTTCCGTGTTCCTCCCTCCCAAGGATCTTTCCAAGAAGAATCGAGGAGTTGGATCCTGAGTTGTGGAGGGATAAAGGCAGCTGCAGGCTCCTTCTCCAAGGAACCAGGAGCTGTGAAGCTGTTAGCCAGCACCCACCACATCGCCTCCTTAACCAGCATCAGGGGAACCAGCACTGCTCTGGCCACGCGTCAGCAGGGAGGAGGAGGAGGAGGCTAGTGTGGACAGTGGCAGGCATTTCTGGCATGTCATCCTGAGAGTCACCGGCCCAGCTTTGACTGCCAGTCCTTGGCATCGCCTCCTTCAGCCCTACTGCTCGCCTGATGTCAGCCCCAGCGTCCATGCAGCACACATGCAGTGGGAGACACACAGCACTCGGGAAACACCTCTACTCACCCCTTGCTGCAGTAACCGGCCGTGTCGGGGCAGAAGAGAAAAGAGATTTGGTGTAAGCAGGCGGGGGGTGCTGCTGGCTGCCACACGGGGCAGGCTGAGCACCACTCATGTGAGATGGCAGGGCAGGACGGGGTGCGAGAGCAGCGTGGTGCTCTGGACGGCGGAGGTTAAATGCCCACCGCCACCCTCCTATGAATGGTGCCCCAGTCCTGTGCAGGGAACATGGGCACGGGGACAGGCTCCCCTGTCCTTGTGGGGCTGCACAGCTCCCACAGCCCCTGGGATTTCCCCTCCTACACAAGCTGGGATCTCCAGCACCTTTCCTGGGATGCTGGGCAGAGCCACTGCAGGGGTGGGGGTGGCTGGAGGCTGGCAGGACCCTGCGGGACACAAAGCTCCATGGGCAGGGGTGGGGTCTCCCTGGGGTCCATCCCCACCAGGGTCTCTGGGGCAGGGGGAAGCTGGTGGAGGTGGGAGGTGATGGGGGTCTGTCAATGGGAGCAGAGCAGCATGGACTGAGGTCCTTGGGCCAGACCTGCAGCGCCATGAGCACCGGGTACCAGTGGGACCAGGGGCAGGAGTGGGAAGAACAGGAGGTGGCTCAGTGAGAGTGCAAAAGAGTCAGGAGATACACAGGGAAGGACCTGCGGCCAGGGGAGCAGGGAGCTGGAAGGGCAGGAGGTGTCGAGGAAGGATGCTCAGCCTGCCCGGGGACTTACACTTTCTGGTGGTCACTAATGCGATTTCGGAGGACGTTGATCTGCAAGAGAAACGCAGGCAGATGGTGAGGCCTGGCAGGATGCCCCACGCTCAGCTGGGGATGGGAGTCGAGGAGATGCATCATGGCGCTCTCTTCCCCAGTGGTCCTTGCGCAGGGTTTAGCATGGGGCTGAGGTGTGCAGCACAGCGGGAAGCCTGTTGCGGTGCAAAGCGTGTCCCCAGGAGCTGGGAGGTCACAGGGCCACCACACAGACCCCTTCACCAGCTGCCACATCCTCTGGTGTTTCATAGCTCAGCCTTGCCAGGGTGGCTGACAACCGCTGGGAGGGTTGGTTTGATCCTGGCTCATCTCCAGAAGGGAGGGAGATGTGGCTTTGCTTTCAGTGGTGCAGAGGCTCGGGTGTTTGTCACCCCATGCACAGGGGGAGCACAGTCTTTTTCTGACGCACCCCGCAGTCCTGCGGCAGCGCCGTCCATCGTACAGCCCACCCCACCTCCCAGATGGGGAGCAGAAGGAGCAGCCAGGCACACGGAGGGCAAGCAAGCTCACGGAGGCCCTCGTGGCTCACCTCGTATTTCTGCCGCTTGAACTTTTCCTGCAGGTCAAATTTCTCAGCCTCCAGGTCATGGATGGTTTGCCATAGCTCCTTGGCCTTGTCCCTGTGGGAAGAGATGGCTGGTGTCAGTGCAGAACAGGGATGTGGCTCACAGGGAGCTCACTGCAGGGGACAGGATGATGCCACCATCTCGCCTGCTCCCCCAGGATGGGTCTCTGTAGGATCCATGCCCAGCCGGGGATGTGTTGGCCAGTCCCACGCAGGGACTGAATGCATGGGTGGGAGGTTGGGACACACGGGGACACGTATGTCCCACACGTGTGAGTGTGTCTCCCTCTGATGGCCGGTGCTGTCAGCAGCAGCCTGGCAGTGGTGGCCCGGCAGATCCATGGAGCCCATGGTGCTGGTGGGGTGTCACAGCCCATCTCCCAGCTTTTCCATCACCCTCTTGTCAGGGCTGCCCACCGTGGCCCAGCATCCTGCCCCATGAGGTGGGACCCAAAGCAGAGCCCCTCTCCTGGACACCCCTCCTGCAGCCCGTGCTCACCTCAGCTTGTCTTCGTTGAGGTGGTCGATGTTCAGGGGCTTCCGCCGTTCGCTGAGGATCTTCTTCTTCTTTTCCCGCTCTGTTTGCTTCTTCCCACCCTTTTTCTCTGACTGAGGAAACAATCAGTCCATCGGAGGGAAGGAAATGTGCCCAGCTTTTGCTCTACCCCTATCCCCAGCTCTGCCCCTAACACCCTCTGGTTTGGGGACTCCAGAAGAACATGAGGTCCTCAAGGAAATTTTGGGAATAGTGGACAAGACACCCCCACCTGCCCATCCCTGTCCCTGAGGCAAGGCTGCACCACCCCCTGGCCAGCACCTGAAAATCAGAGCTCTCGGCTCACTTTGTCCCTCTGACCACTGCTGTGACCCACCCATGGTGGCCTGTCTTCTTCCGCTTGTAGAAACCACAGTCTACCAGCACTGAGAACATGCATGGGTGCTGTGGGGCCAGCCTACGGTCAAGCCCTTCCCAGGAGCACCAGTAGCTTCATTGCAACTGCCTGGGGTAGGATCACACCTTCTGCATGTAGCCTCCAAAATGCAGCATGTTGGAGAAGGCTTTCTTCTTCCGTGCTTCCTCCTCAGCCTTCTTCCGGGCCTCCTCTTCCTCTTTGCGAGCTCTTTCTTCCTGCCAGGGTCAGAAGTAGGTTGGAGATGGAGATGGACAGAGACCTCAAGGACTGGCTTATGTGCAAGACACAGCTTGTGCTGCCATGTGCTCCATGGCTGGGCTTGTCCTACCCAAGACCAGCCCAAGGTCCCCAGCCCTGAAGGGAGACTCACGGCCATGCGGGCTTGACGCTCCTTCTCCCTCTCACTGCGAATCCGCTGCTGCTCTGCCCTCTCCGCTCGCCGCTGTTCCTGCAGGAGGAGAGTACGTTAGCTTGGACACCCCAGGCAATCTGCATCCTCCCTGTCCCTAGGGACACATCCCTGACCTCAAAGGCCCTGAGAGCCCCAAGGGCAGGTCTGCTGCTCCCATGTCTCCCAGGAGAGGACATGGACCAGAGCCCCCAGGGGAAGGTACACCTCCATTAGGCACCGCAGCATCACAGCAGCCAGACTAGGGGCTTCCCAGGCATCGGGGTACAAAATCTGGTTCAAATCTCAAGCTCTGTCTTGCAGGGACATGGGAAGTCTCAGGTCTTGTGGTTGGGACTGTCGGGAACGGATCGTGGCTGTTTGCCCAAGGGGGAAGGGTGGCAATAGCAATAGAGGGGGAGGGCTGCAGACATACAATCCTGTCCTTGAGGGAGATGAGCTCCTCTTCCTCCTTCTTCCTGCTCTCAAAGTGGGCTTCGATGAGGGCCTGCAGTTCATTCAGGTCCTTCTCCATGCGCTTGCGGTGGATGTCCTGCACCAGATAGAATGGATATGCTCACATGATCTGCTGGGCACAGTGTGGAGGAGCAATGCAAGGGGAGCACCTCATGGGGGTTGACTTTGGGTGCACTACTCACGTCAAAATCCAGTCTCTCACCATCTGGGATTTTAGGAGGCACCAGGTTTGGCATGAAGACCCTGCAATGGAAGGTGAGCAGGAGGATGGTGAGTCTGCAGCAGCTACCTGGGCCAGGACAGTGCCTTTCATCCAAGCACTGATCTACCCAGCCCTCCCCTCTGAGCCTCGCAGTCCCCAGGGATGCAGAGTGAGGACAGGGAAGTGTAATGCTGCTTGCTGGAGGTTGCCAGCTGGACAGCCTCAGAGGAAGACCTCTGGCATTCCCGGGAAGCACTCCAAGGCACCCACATGGCTGGAATAACTCTGCAAGCTGTAGGCAACTTGGCCATGACCCTTTGCCAGGCACCCTGGGTCTGGCAGCCACCCCGCTGCTCACCCAAAAGAGCACAGAGGAACTGTGTGATCTGGCACAGGGAGCTGGAAACCATATTCTCATCCTCTGTGGGCTTGAAGGAGGGCTCAGATGCACATAAAGACACAAAGGGATGAAGAGATTGCAGCTGAGGACAGCTCTACTTCCCAGACCGCAGCATCCCAGGGGTCCATGAGGACCCGCAGGTTCCTGGCAATGGTTCACGGCCCCACTCCTTCAGGAGGTGCTCCCGTCCAGGGGATGCTGACACTCAAGCAAGTGCCTGCCTCATGCCAGCCATGGCCAGGAGCTTACTGGAGAAGCAAGACCCTGGCTGTGCCATGGACCATGTACCCCCGGCTCGGGTGCACAGAGGTTTTTTTCCAGCTGCAGGGCCACAGAGCAGCTGGGCCTCCTCCAAGGAGCACACAAAAGGCTTCAAGACCTCATTCTCAGGCTCCTCTTCATATTCTATGTTTATCTGCCTGTTTGTCTCCCTTTTTCTCTCCATGTCCCAGTCCCCACCCTTCTTTCATGCTTTTGAGACCTCACTGCCCCATGCCCTTCATTGATCATGGTGCTAAGCCCATCACATGGAGCCTGCACCCTGGCACAGCTCCTAGTTCAGACCTTGCACCGGAGAAAATGCACCGACACTTACTTGGGCTTTGGCTTTGATTCGCCTGCGGGTCCCCAGGAGCAGGAGAAAAAGACAACGTTAGCGTCACAGAGGCATTTGTTTTCACACCTTGACCCAAACCCCACTAGACTGAGCCGAGCTACCCCTCTCGCCCAGCAGCACAGACTGCACCATGGGTCATCCTCCAGCAAAGAGGCATGGGGTGAGGCGTCCATCCATACGCCAAAACCCAAGACACGTGTTGCTGCTCCTGGCTGAGCAGAAAGGCATTTGGTACCTCCTTATAGAGGCAAGGGGACAGTCCCTCCCACCCCAGAGAGGAACAAGGACAGATACTTCACCTTCCCCAGGCTCCTGCTCTCGGTCCCCCTCTCCGCCTGTGGAAAACACGATGCTTTGGCTCCTGGAGGTCAGCCCTGCTGTGCACCATGCCCGCAGGCACAGCAGGGTGGGTCAGCCAGGCTGTCCCCCTTTGCCCCGTGCTTATCCCCCTTGCAGAACGTAGGTCCATCTCTCCAGGATGAAAGGGGAGGGAGCAGGACCCTCACAGGCAGCCCCTACCCTCAGACAGGCCAGGAGAGCCCCAGGTCCTCTCCAGGAAGAACCCGGACAAGGTTTGCTCAGGCTGGGAGAGCAGTAGTACTACCCTCTCCTTCTGTATTTTGGGTGAATTTCTTACCTAGGCAGCACAAAGCTAGCCCTCCTGCAGCCCTCCTGCTGCCCCAGCCCTGGCAAAGGACAAGGCCAGGGCAGCTCTGCCCTTCTTACAGCAGATTCTCCCTCATCCGCAGCAAATGAACTCAACACTGAAAACCTCAGTGGGGGCAGTGTCTTGGGGGACTGGGGTCAGGGACAA